GTTATATTTAAAATAAAAAAATAAATTTAAAAATTAAACTATTTCTCAGAGAAGAATAAGACAATGCAAATGCTATAGACTGAATTTTGTGATAATGTTTACTTCTTATGAGAGAAACATTTAAAAAAATGTTAAGAGAATAAACTCTAGTAATCTTTGTAAACATATTTTTATTTTAAAATTATTCAAACAGCTCTTCTTATAGAATATTTGAAATTCTGGAATTTTGTTAATAATTATTTCTTTAATAATCATGAAATATAATAAATTTTGGGTTGATTATAAAAAATAATTTCATATATTATAATTAATGAAAACTTTTATTGTCATTAGTAAATTATAATTTATTAAGCATAAACTATCATTTAAACACATTGACTTCCAAAGTTAGATATGGCTGCTGCAAAAGTGTTGGAGTCTTTTATCACCACCCATATACATAAGTAATGCTGACCTGTCCATCAGATCAATTCTTTTTTTAAAGAATAATCTAAATAGCAATAATATACTTTAATTATTCTTTTTCTGTTTCCATAACAACATAATCATTTGTAGTATGTTACCACAGTAAAGACATTCATACATCTGTAACATACCTTAAAAAACTGGCAACAAAAATATTTACTTCAAGTGAACGTTCTTATTCTAAAGAGCTCGAAGACGGCAATAAAGCTGGCCGAAAATGTTTGGCGAAATAAATATCTTTGTAAAGATGTTCCATAATTCTTTAAGTGTTTTTGAAAACAGAAGCGAGTGTGAAAGTACTGGTGCTTTGGTTTTTATCTTTAGTTTTAAATTTCATTAAAGTAAATATATTTTGTTTTTTTAACAATTGAATTAAAAAATTACTATTATTATTACTTTTTAAAGTGTCATACATATTTTTATTTTTGCATTTTCCTTTTAAAAAATATGTACATCTCCAATTAACAAAGTAATTATTACCAGAATACATTTAAGCTGTGATTAGTTAATGATTAAACATAATAGTTTGACCGAAAGATACACATTTAGGCAGCCAAGAAAATATACACACATTTATATAAGTAAACCTTTGCTTTGTAAAAAATTTCTATCAATAATATAAGTAAATTAATAAACCTTAAAATATTTTTTATGATGATCATTAATGTTAGATATAAAATTAAAATTACCTTTGTCAACCAGATTTAAAGCATTAACGACGGCTTCTACGACTCTAGAACTTGTAAAAATGAGGCTGCCATATTTGTCAAATTGTTGCAGGCAAAGCAATAAGCGATCGGAATTAATAAACGTGAACGCCAAGGCTGGAATGACTACCGGTTCCAAATTGATTTTTTGCAATTCCTAAAATATAATTTATTAAAAATAATTTAATAATGCATTTATGTTAATACAAAATTAAATGTAGATAATTCACATTTTAAACTTTTCATTATTTAGGGAAATCAACTAATAAAATCAATTTCATAAGAATGTATTTGAAATATTATACAATCTAATTAATTTATTATTTATCACACATTCATTTTTACATAAAGAAAATAGTTGTACAGTAGAACCTCGAAAACTCGTCCCTCGATAACTTAGCACTCCGGATAACTGGTCCACACCTTGGCAGGGCGAAAAAATCCTTAGTTAATTAATTTTCATTATAGACAGCTTTATAAAAGTATAAAAGCTCTCATAAAGTATTTTTCTGAGGTCTGTCTTATCAGGTAAATTACTGTACACAGTGTATTCATTAATTTTCATTTTCATGTAGTGGCTCTATGCCTTCATAAAGGACGTACTTTTCCTTTGTTTAAGGGTATTTGGGCAGTTTATTCTCTGTTATATTCTGCTCAAGTAAACAATATACAAGTACAGTACAGTATTTTCTGAGGAAATA